AAACTTGAATATTCTGTCAATAAAAAAAAACTGCTCGGCAGCATGTGTGGAGGATAAAAACCATGGAGCCTGTATTGTTATTTAGACAAACATCAATGTCCGTTGTGTGAGGAACGTGCCGACTGCCTGCGCCGACAACAAATGTGTGGGTAGTCTCTTGAGGCAAGAAGAGTGCTATGATGACATTCCCTTCTCGCCTGCGTATCAGAACAGGACATACTCTAATTCTATTTGAATACTTTTAATGGTGAAATCATTTACACTACAGTATTGGCTAAAAGAAAATTCATGAAAAGCAAAGACCAGCCCCTGCCAATTTGTTTCCATGAGCATCATCTGATTTTGTTTTGGGGCGGGGGGTGGGGGTCAAAATTAATTGATTAAGCGATTAAAGTGATCAATCGTCATGTACTTTGATCATCAATTAATCAAATAGAGTACATTTATACACTTTTTGGGTCAAATGAATAGCTCAAAAACTTTGGTCAGTTACTTTTTTAAATCGTTTTGCGTTATTTTTGACTCAACTGTTTTTGGGGTGTTCGAGTCCGTGCTCTAGCCTTCGTGGGTGGAGTTCGCATATTCTCCCCATGCCTACACAGGTTTTCTCCAGTTACTTCGGTTTCCTCACATTCCAAAAACATGCACGGCAGGTTAATGGAACATTCTAAATGACAGGTGTCAAACTCAAGGCCCGGGAGCCAGATCCGGCACGCCACATCATTTTATGTGGCCCGCGAAAGCAAATCATGTGTGTCAACTTCCATGATCCTTGCTAAAATATGTACTGAAATGTCAAATTGTCATGTGTAAGAAGTTACATTGAAATTTTCAATAATTTTGTTCCCATTTAATACACTCACTTGAACAATAATTGAGCAAAAACAAACAGTTGACTTGAGTGATTTCAACTAGTAATCCATCTATTTGTCATGCATAATAATACAATGAGATGATTAAACATTTATTCGGCTTCACTGTTGTAACAGCCCTTCGAGGGAAGAAGTAACTCCAAAGTGGCCCTTGACAAAAGTGTGTTTGACACCCACATCTAAATTGTTTCTAGGTGTGATTGTGAGCACGAATGGTTGTTCGTCTACAGCTGGGATAGTCTCCAGCATGCCCCGCGACCCTTGTGAGGGTAAGCGGATTAGAAAATGAATGGATGGATGGATGTTTTAGGGTCGACCTACCTACCTACCTACCTGCCTACTTAACTGCCTCAAATAGAAAACAGTATTTATTTTGTTGTTACAATCTTATCATTGCCCAAAGGCAGCCGGCATAGGCTCAAGCACAACTGTGATCCTCATGACTATACAGCAAGTGGTACATACAGGGACACCCAAACTCAGCTCAGGAATTTAAGATAGGGAGGCCCACGGTGCATGAGATGGAGGGCCGAAAATGTGTTATTCCTCCTCCTTATTCCATATTAGACCAAGACGACCTGAAATACGTAATGCGCATTGTGTAGTCATCTTTGCCTGATGTGACATTTTGGAGCCTTCCGAACTTCTTTACAACTCAAGAGATGCTCTGTCATGGTATTCCCTCTGAGTTATAGTCTTATATATCTGGCCAAATCAAATAATGGTGAACCATTGCTGTATTAGGGGGTGTCTCAATGCCTTCCATGATCACAAAGAGAAAAATGCTGGCAACGGATTCAGTTGCTACAGGTTCGTTTCAGAGCTCACAAAGAGAATTCAGGAGGCTTTGTTATCAGACAAAAAAAAAGAAAAATCACCTTTGACAATAGTCTGCCTTTGCAACCATCTTGAAATGTCCTTGGGCAAGATACTTAATCTCTAGTTGCTCCTGATACTGCGTCCCTCAGTAGGTGAATGTGGTAACAGTGTAAAACCCGAGGTAGAAAAGTGCTGCAGTATGCAGTATAAGGGCGGCCTGGTGGTCAACTGGTTAGTGCGTTGGCCTCACAGTGCAGAGGGTTCAATTTCGGCTCTGGCCTTCCTGCGTGGAGTTGGCATCTCCCACATTCCAAAAACATGCGTGGTAGGTTAACGGAATGCTCTAAATTGCCTCTAGGTGTGAGTGCGAGCGTGGATAGTTGTTTGTCTATGTGTGCCCTGCGATTGGCTGGCAACCAGTTCAGGGTGGACCCCGCTTACTGTCCTGTAGACAGCTGGGATAGGTTCCGGCACACCTTGTGAAGATAAGCGGGTCAGAAAATGGATGGATGGATCAGAGTCAGTCATGGTGCCAGGAATTTTTCTCTGAATTTTTTCTTCTGTTTGTAGGTGTTTGACTGAGGTGTGGCAGGGCTGAGATAAAAAATTGGTTATCGTGATTTCACTTCACGTTCTCTTCTTTTTTTTTTCTTTTTTTTTTAAATAAAAGTATAATACACACTCGTGGTGTGTAGTAGACACGTCTTCAACATACAAATTTACCCCAAGGAATAGATTTGGATCCTATCGTCCAACCACTGTATTTGATTGTGTCTTTGTACCCCCTTATGTGCACCCTGTTCAATATGACAGAAATGCCCCAAATTGTATGCCTGCATCACCTCGCTGTTTTCCCCTGTTTCTATAGGGGAATGCTTGTTGCACGCTAATTTGAAGCACTTATGAGATGCAGCTAGTGCTCCTTCAGGTGTTGGACCAGGCTCTTCTTCTTAACCCCTTGCGAGATTGGCAGATTTAGGTGGGGTGAGCAGCAGAGTTGAGTATGTGCGTTGTGCACAAGAGCATTTTTCTAAATCTCTGCTTCTATTGCCCAAACAGGTTATTTTGGTCTTGTTCTGTAATTTATTTATTTTTGGGCCTCTAGTATCGCCAGGTGAGGCCTTGCTACAGCTGTCAGTTGGTGTCAGCTTCAAGAATGGGAATGCCACATTTAATTAATCTGGACAAGGCCTGTACGATAAAGCAACGTCAAAGTTGCGTTCCTCAAAACCATGTTTTTGTCCAAGCACCACCTCCAAACAGGAGGCTCGTAAACAGGCTTTCCAACTGGATATGATTTATTGCAAAGAAGCATTGTTACAATAAATTCGACCTCAATCAAATTAGCCTCCCTTAGTTTTTATGATATATTACAACAGTGCAAAAACAAACAACAACAACAAAAAGGACATGTCAGAAAGTGTATAACCATCTGATCTTGATTGACGTAAGACAAAAATGAACCATTCTGAATAATGGTCGATAGGGGACGCTATTCTACCTGTGACGCCGCAGAAGAAGATGACAAGACACGTGTGTGAGTGTATTCGAAAACTGGAGCCGTTTATCACGATTGAAAACTGAGTGTGTCTCGTTTGTGAGCATCTTTGTAGTCTGCATTCGGTGTGTGCAAGTGAATATTGCATAAGACATGTCTGCGGATGAAAGACGAATCCGAGAGCAGAATTAGTCTTTTGGCGTTAATCGGCTTGCTCTAAAAAGTAGCAGTAAGCATGCATTTCAGTGTACGTAAAGCTTTGGTTTCCATTTGAGTGTGACATGGATGAAGCACACACGTACATTCCACTCTTCTGATATAATAAGCAAAGTATCAGCAACAAAAAAGAAACTTTAACTGCAGGATAGAATGGCATCAGGCAAATCAGCATATATCCGTGAGACATTTCCAGCCAAAACGACACTGATTTATTCAGTCATGAAAACGAGTAGAAAACGGCTTGCAGTCCAGCTGTCAACCCCCGTTGCCTGGCACCGCGCTTACGTGTACTCTGGCGCTCTCAAGTGGCCTTCAAGGTAAATTGTGTTTGTGTTCCTCGCTGTCCACGGTGCTGAAGCCTTTGTGCTACGACATGTACTCTTCAGACCAGACAGCAAGAAGCGGAAAAACTTTGACCAGTTGAGATCATTAATGGGAGCTACTTATGCCCTAGACCGTGACTGTCACATGATGTTACGTCAGTAGTATGTTTGAAGGGGTATAGCGGCAGCTCTTGCCCTGCATTTTTCAAGTTCTTTCAAGCAACTGTCACTGGGCGCATTTGGTAACAGGTGAAGTATTAGGTAGAATTGGCAACAAGTGAACGAGGAGCTTGTTTACCCGTACAGTGTAGTTGAGTTGAAAATAATTGAGCAATCATGTGGGATAGATTGTGGGCATTTTCGGTTATGAATATAGTTTTTAGCATGGGAATTAAGCGTGATGCACACGATTTTTAACATCTTAAACCATTTTTTAAAGTGCGAGATCCCACACATCTCATGTCTTTTAATGGCAACGTTCGAAGCTCCTCAAAACATTGAATGGGACCTGGAAGTTGTTCTCATGCTCCCGTTTTAAGTAGCATCTCAAACGCTCATTGAGGTGCAAGAATTGAGCATCGAGGAGCTTCCACGGGGTATCTTAAATCGAGGCACCTCTGATGTATCCTCTGCGGAAGCATGACCGTCAATGACCCAGGACTACGAATTAAATTGATGTTTGTGCCATTTCATGATGATTTTAGTTTGAATATATTTTTGTTGAGTGTTCTATTTTGTGCATGTACTTGATACCAAAAAGACTTGATTACACTGGCCCATGGTGACGACACTGAACTAAACCTGTTTCTAAGGTCTGCAGTAATTAGGATGCTATTTCTGAGACGCATTTGACCGCGTAAAGATAATTAAAAACGTGTTGATGGTGCTTTGCTTTTTTCGCATTCAATCTAATGCATTGGCAGCATCTACTTCTTATTTATTTATTATTATTAGTTACGAGTCATTCCAAATATGAGTTGTGCACATTGGTAGTGGAGGGGGTGACACGCTTGGGACAGAGCTCGTCTTTGCAGTTTTAAGTTGTGAACCATGTCAGCGTGGATATTTGATTTTAGCTTAATCCCACTTGAAACATAAAGCATAAAGTGGGCATTTGTGGTTTTAGTCATACTTCTGAGATGCAGACATTGCATTTTTGAGACACATGAATGATGTGACATCATCTTTAGTAGTCTCCATGAAATGACGACATCACAGAATGATCATCACATGACCCCAAAATAATTCTAACTCCTCTTGCCTCGCTCCTTTGTCAGTCTCCCTCCTCCTTGATGGAATTTCTGGCAGGAGGTGCAAACAGGTGGGTGATGGCCTGGAAAGCTACAATTTGACTAGTTAAATGACACCCATATCTCTATACTGTAATCACAAGTCTTCTGGAAACCAGATGTATGTCATAGTACCAAAGCTGACCTGTGGGAGGCAGCATGGTGCCTCATAGCATCCGAAGAAGAAAGAGAAAAAGCTACTTAACCTTTCTGGTCATGACATTACAGTGCCAAACTCTTCTTCTTGTCATTTTGTGAGACACATGATGCAAACATTCAATACGAATAACTGTTTCTCTATTTGTGTCTGGCAACAGCAGGAGTATTAGCTCACTTCCCGTTTGGCCATTATTCCGTTTCACGTCACTCACAGAGTCAGATTGGCCATTGTAAATATTGAACAGGTTTAACAGTTATAACTGTTGGCCTCAACCATTTTCCAAACAGGTTCCAGAGACAACACACCGCACCCCACATGGTCATCTTCCTAAAACATCCAATATTTGTGACTTTGCTGATTTTGATCAGAAGGGGTAATGAGCCTCAGTTTCAGAATCAATTGGTAAGTGATGCTCTACTCATTGTTACTACAGACAATAAGACCACAACACTTTTAGCTTTAGTAGTAGGAGTAGGAAATAACATGAAGAAAACTTTTGAACAAACCCCATAATCGAGGTGCAAATGCATTTTTTTGTACAAGTGGTAAAAATATCCACACACATAATGCATATTCATGAACTTTCTGAACCGCTTATTCTATCAATAAAATACTTATATTTCGATTTTGTTTTCTGATGACATTACCCACGATGACGAGCTGTTTTCAGGCTCGCTGGGCGCATGGCTTCAGCAACGCTGTGAGACTCCACAGATCGCCAAGCAATGTCCAAGCAGCTTCTGGACAATCACTATGGCATCCTTTTCATTGCTTTCAAAATAAACGTTTGGCAGATTCCCCGTCTTGCATTTTCAAGGAAGCATGGTGTGTTCATGGTAAACCAGTGCTGCTCTCGTGTAAAAGATATCATTTTTTTATATACTGCTCATCCTCAATTGAGGGTCGCGGGAGGGTTGGAGCCTTTCCCTGCTGATTTTGGACAAGAGCACACCCTGGACTGGTCGCCAGCTAATCGCAGCCTGGGCACAAATAGACAATTGGATCAACCATTCACATACTGTATTCTCATTCTCATATTCACATATATCATATTCTCATCAAAGGAAAATTTTCACGGTTTCTAAGAAACATGTTTTTGGAATGTGGGAGGAAGCCACAACGTATTCGCCGTCGCAAGTGTAGACAGAACATGCAATTTCCACCGTGGAAGGCCAGAGGCTGCCCTCGAACCCCCAAACTCAGAACTGTGAGGCGGATGTGCCAACCACGACGCTCACCATGCTGCGAGGAGTATTCAAACACAAACTGTTGGTATTACAAAAACATCAGGAATCAAACTTCGGGTTAGAAGCAACAGCTGGAAAAGGACGAATTTAACGTCGATATCGGAACGTTTTGGTATGAAAGTATTCCCGTACCCTGCATGTAAAACCCCGTGTGGTTGAGCGGAGACGCAAGCTCATCCACTGGCCGAGCGGATATTTGTTTAACTTTGAAAGTCCAAGCGCTCGATTTCCGGCGAGACTGTGTGTGCCTCACGTTTGATTTACACACCTGGAACGGCTCGCAGCTGCACGCGCGCCTCGCGCCGCTCGCAGCGCAACAGAAACGGACGTTTTGTCGCGTAAGTGCTCTGCCGATTGTGTCCTTCAGAGGGTCGCGTTCGTCTCGGGTGTCGGCCATGGGGAGGAGCACCGGCAAGGCACCTCGATGAGGCGCATGCAGGTGCCATTCATAGAGCGCTGCTGACAGGCGGGGCGGCGGGACGTGACGGACAGGTAAACCGCTGTGCGTTTGAAGCCAATGGCCCGTGGCCGTGACGCGCAGGGGCGTGAATCGCTCGGACTCTGAAGTGATGGGGCCGTTGTAGCCGGCAGAGCCGCCGCGACTGTGGGGTGCGGCATCGTCTGGGATCCGAGCCCCCGATCCGGAGAAGGCGAGTGACGAGACCGGAGACGCGGGCGGAGACGCCTCTGCTTTTGTGTAGGCTGTCTCGGCGGGGACATGGCAGCGGCTATCGCCAGCGGTTTGATCCGCCAGAAGCGGCAGGCGAGGGAGCAACACGCCCACCGACCGACCACTCACCGGCGGCGGAAGAGCCCCAGCAAGAAGCAGGGGCTGTGCAACGGGAACCTGGTCGACATCTTCTCTAAAGTCCGAATATTTGGCTTGAAGAAGAGGAGGCTACGGAGACAAGGTGTGCGCGGACACACATATATGCACACAGACACGTACGCGTATCACGCGCACACACGGCTCGGCAGACAGAGGCGCTCAAATGTACCTTTACGCGCTTCGCCTGGCATACATGCACGCGTTGGGAGACAAAATCTCGCACACTTTAGTTTTTGCTTGAAGCCACACCGACAGCTTCGACCCTTTCCTCTCTGTCGTGGACACAAAAACGCGCGCACATGCACTGTCATGTCTTGTAGCGCCCTATGGTTCACTAGTTTCCGAGTACATCCATTATTGAAGCCACAGATTGGTCTGTCTCGTCTCTCTCTTTCAATGTCTGACTCAGAGCATGCGTGCATGTGCAAATGAAAACCTGGTTTGAATGTATTTGGCTTAGTTTTTGTTCACGCAGAGCTCAAAGACGGAAGACTGACGTTTAAGTGATTTGTGCTCGTACTCAACCAATTGTGTGCAAAGTCAGCGGGTGAGCTCGTGGGAAGGCGACCTGGGCAGTGGGTGGCGAGGGTGAGATGACGTATCATGTTCATGGGTCCAGCTTGGACTTGAGAAAAGCAACAATTAGGGTCTCACAAGGGATCTGTTTTCTCTCAGCTCTTCAAGTCCTCGTCAGAGCTTCAGATTTTTTTTCTGGCCCCTCTCTCACTGCATATTATTAACATTAGAATTCTCTCAATGATTCCACACGCGTTTTATTCAAACCTCCCTTCTCATGCTAAGATCTTTACATCCTCACCTCCTGCCTCCATTTGGTATCACACTAATCCTCCCGCTTTGCCTCAGATCTCTCCATCACTCCCTCCAGCCAACACCCCCAGCACACACACAAAGCTTGCCAACATCCCCTGCAGCCTTCCAGGGGTTTTCGGAAGGAGACATTCAAACAGATATGGACTCACTCACACTTGGCTTGTTATGAGAAGGGCGAAACCGCCGCTCTCAAATGTAGTTTGTGTATCTTCATTTTAATGTTGATGTCAGATCATTTGAATAACAGTAAAAGCCAGGGGTTGCCCGGCTTCTCTTTCTGTAGTTCATGTTTATTTACCTGCAAAATAAAGCAAAATTAGAAAATGGATATTGTGCGATGATTTATCGCAGGCCAGCTCCATCACCTTGACTTATCCAAATGTCCTCCCAATGATGGGCGAGCTTTCTGTCCACTATTCCCCTGACTTGAAATCAATGCGTGCAGGTATGGAAAGTCGATGGCAGACTGAAGCGCTCTCCACCCCGTTGCGTTATTGTCAAGTGTGCATGCAAGACTTGGAGTCAAAGATGGTTCTGGCGTTTCTCATTTGACAGTCACAGAGTGCGTCACTGGTGCCATATCGGAGGTGATGTTGGTGCATTTTTTTCAGCACGACATCTGTGGTGGTCTCATTTGTGATGGTGGAATGGCACTCAAGTGGTTTGATTATCACGTGTCACATACAAAATGGAATCCGTGTGTGTGTGTGTGTGTGTGTGTGTGTGTGTGTGTGCGCGTCTGTAAAACACTGCATCGAGGCTCATATGACAGTGACGTGTCAGACTATGACAAGAGTTCAACGGATTGACGCACCACATTTTGTATGTGTGTGTGTGTGTGTGTGTGTGTGTGTGTGTGTGTGTGTGTGTGTGTGTGTGTGTGTGTGTGTGTGTGTGTGTGTGTGTTGTGTATGGATGGGGGAATACCTCTCTACTGGAACTTGTGGCATCACGAGACTGTTGTCATGGAAACGCAAAGATGGGAATTTCCCTAGTAACAGACAAGATGCTGGGAAGAAAAGGGAATATCACCTTGGCGAATGTGGAAAGAATTGCAGCATGAAGTCTTTTTAGTGGACGTTGCACAATTGAACGGACAACAGATGATTAGGTACTGTTCCCCTGTGGATTGTCATTGACTCTTTTTCATCAATTATAAAGCAAGCATTACCAATCCATCGTCAATCTGTAATAATGATGACAATCTCAACCAAGTTTATGAATAGCCCATTTACCTCGAACTCTCCCCCTATACCTCTCATCTAAAATGGCTACACAAGTCTGTGTTGTGGCCTGGGCAGGGCTTGTTTTCACCTGACGGCCAGACCTGAGCATGTTCGGTGACACATCAAAAACTGAAGCTGTGTTCAAAGCATGACCTTGACAGCAGTGCAAGGTTGCATATTGTCTTCAAAATTGGAAACCTATTTCAATGACACCCCTGAACTGTCCCATTTTTTTTTGCCCACGATCTTGCTGTTCTGTTTTTATCACAGCATTACAGGGAATCTACTCACTCCCAAAACCTTGTAGGCAGACGCTGTCATCACAATTAAAGCAATGAAATAAGATGCCGGACCATTTTGTGTTAATGTACGTCTTCATTTGCGACGGTGCTCCGTGCAGCGCTGGTAACGTGTCGCAACATCACTGCACACTTTGTTGCAAAGCTTCACACCTCACAATGATGGAGAGACCCCCATGGGTTTTGTCTCTGTGCATCACCTCTACTCTTCCTTTACGCTCTGCCTCTCTGGCACACTCTCAAAGGGGATTCCCAGCATGCTTTGGAACAGTGGATGTGGCCGTAGGCGTTTGTCCATACCTGTTTTGAGTGTGTGATTTGAAACATTGGCACCCTTTGATCCGAAAACCTTATCAAAGTTTTCCAAGTGGAACAATGACCAGTCAGGAAATGATTAGTACGAGAGTGCTGCGATGGATTTGATGTGCTTGACTGCTCCTCTCTGCAGGACGTCCCTCCGGATAGGGTGTTGAGGCTGCCGCTGTGCTCAGGCTATGTCTCAAATGGCCCTTCAACAAAATGTTGAAACTGGTCAGAAATGTTTCACAACTTCAAGTAATTCTTTCCTAACTGAACATATAGTCCAGCGTTACGGTCTCGTGAGTACTGTACCAAAAATTCCAACTAACACAAAGACCCATCCATCCATCCATTTCCTACCACTGATCGGGTCGCAGGGGCAACAGCTTTAGCAGGGCAAGCCCAGACTTCCCTCTCACTTGTTCCAGCTCTTCCCTGGGGATCCCGAGGCATTCCCAGGCCAGCTGGGAGACATAGTCCCTCCAGCGTTTCCAGGGTTGTCCCGGGGGCCTCTGCTGGTGGGACATGCCTGGAACACCTCACCAGGGTGACACCTAGGAGGCATCCTAATCAGCTGCCCGAGCCACCTCATCCGGCTCCTTTCGACGTGGAGGAGGAGCGGCTCCACTCTGAGCCCCTCCTGGATGACGTAGCTTCTCATCTTATCTCAAAGGGAGCACCCGGACACCCTGTGGAGAAAACCCATTTCGGCCGCTTGTGTCCGGGATCTCGTTCTTTCGGTTATGACCATAGGTGGGAGTAGGAATGTAGATTGGCCGGTAAATTGAGAGCTTGGCCTTTTGGCTCAGCTCCTTCTTCACCATGACAGACCGAAACAAAGTCCCCATCACAGCAGACTCTTCAGCGATCTGCCCGTCAATCTCTCGCTCCCTCCTGCCCTCACTCGTGAACATGACCCCAAGATACTTAAACTCCCCCACTTGGGGCAAGAACTCATCCCTGACCCGGAGAGGACATTCCACCCTTTTCCGACTGAGGACCATTGTTTCATTGATTTAGAGGTGCACAAAGAGATGCAAGATGCAAATTAAGCATTTATAGGTTTGGGTTTGCTGTGTGGAGTTTGCATGATTTAGTGATCGGCTGGCACGCAATCCAAGGGGTATCCCAGCTCTTCCTAAGGATGCGATCCAGCTCACTTGTGAACCTAACACATTTTTCATGTAATACAAGGGTCCATCAAAACTGAGCCTTTTTGAAAAGACATAACTTTTGATGTAGCTCCTCTCGTGGATCAACACAGGTGTTCATTTCTCTCCAGCATTTACCCTGCACACATCCTTATTTATTTATTTTTTTGCCCAACCGGCCTTCTTGTTGTTTCCCCCAGAACCGCAGCTGAAGGGCATAGTGACCAGGTTGTTCTGCAGGCAAGGCTTCTATCTCCAGATGGGCCAGGATGGAAGTCTGGATGGGACCAAAGATGACAGCACCAACTCTTGTAAGTGGAAACAACACTCATCATACACATGCGCTGATGCAACAAGTGTCAGGTTTTTGTGGAGCCTCCTTGATTGGACCTGACAAAGCTTCCAGTTGAATTACGAAGCTGGTTCCAGTGTTTTCGTTTGTTGTCATTTTTTTAACGTGCCGTGTTGTTGCAGTGGTAACCTTGTACAGCTCTATAGAAATGTCCACCTGCTTGGCTTTTTGCAGGCCTCCCATTCATTTGGACACATACAGTGTGGCTTGGCATGTCGATTAAGAGGATGCGAGGCACCTCTCACTTTCAGCCTTTGTCGGTCTGTCGGCAGGCAGAGAGAACTGTGATGCTTTGGACACTCATAGGAATGTCATTAGCGCCGAGCACCAGGCGGTACGGCGGTCCCCTGAAAAAGGCTGTTTCTTATTCTTGCGAAAAATCATTTTGCTTTTTGGGACCTTTGACATTTTAAAATTGGTGTGTTTTAACACACCAACTTTTGAAAGGATGCACATCCCAGTGATGTGTATTTTTAGGCGTCCGCAACATGACAGCAACATAAAGCAGTCTTAGTTGCATCCCTTGAAAAGTCAGAAGAAAATCAGACACCAGTGTTACTTATAGACATAAAATCAGGTGCCCGGCTATCATGGTGGGATGCATGAAAAAGTCTGAAGAACCCATGCACAAAATAAAAACTGGAAGTTGGCAATTTTTCTTTGAAGCTGCCATTTGGTTGAATTCCTCACCTCAACTCTTTGGGAATTAGTCCAATTAAATGAGCCTCAATCAGAAGCGGGTACCCTCGATAAATGGCCGACGCAAAATTGCCAAGCCAATTCTTTGCCTACACCATCTAATGTGGTTGTAGCATTGCATCAAATTTTGATGCTCATGTTGAGAATTTCCTGGAAAATGGGGTGTGAGGGCACGTTGATCACTTGCAGCTTGAAATTTCTCTTCTAATCAGCTGGAAGCATTTTTGCTACGGATGATCACCTTTGCACATTTCATAAATTTCTTGTCCTCAGCGCGTAATGTTGTGTGTGTTGGCTGCAAGAGTGATTCGAAAAGCACTTGGAAGCAGTCTTGATTAATGAGTACTGTGCCTTCCCTCGCGTAATCAAGCCTCGATGGGAAGGGAAGACGCACGGCAAAAAAAGGCAGAGCTGCTGTCATGCCTTTCATCATAGGCTGTGATTGTGATGATATGCACACATACCGCTTGCAGCATAACAGAGAGCCACCTCCATGAATGATACACTCTGAAGACAAAAGCATGAAGACTAATGGCAAGCGAACACGGAAGAAAATGGAGTTCCCTTGTAGCGGCAGCAGCTCCCACTCTTCTGCAAGATTTTAAAGCGTAATCATCGAGCAAAAGAATTGCCAGATCACTGATGTTGGCTATTCTACGTCCATGGTGTTTGATGGGGTTGAGGTCATGGCTCTCAACTTCTTCCGTCAGGCTTGCCTTTTTGGACTCAAACATGCTGGAAGACAAAAGAGCTCTTTCCGCAAAGCATTGAATTGTCCAAAACGCGCGTACCGAGAGGTAACGCAAACCAAGACAAGATTCGGGAATTGATTTTCCAAGACTTATTCAATGACTATTGTCTCATGTTACTTGTGGCAACTAACTGTTCAAAACTCCATGGGCACATACAACCTCTATGTCTCATCTTTTTCTGCAGCTCTGTTCAACTTAATTCCAGTGGGACTTCGAGTTGTGGCCATCCAATCAGTAAAGTCCGGTCTCTACATCGCCATGAACGGAGAGGGTCACCTCTACTCCTCGGTAAGTGAGCCTCGATGTGCGCTGACACACAATAGATACAAACATATATAGACACGTATCAAAACACCGTCATCACAAAAGACAAGTCGTCCTCGGTGAGAAGAAACGCTTGAGCTGAATACACATTTTTGACATTTTGATTCTTCAGCAGCATCACACCATCTCTCGCTCCCATAGGGGCTTCCTTTAAATAACTGAAGCGGAGTCCCCCTCTCCTTACACACACAAGTTGAATTTTAGAATGCCGTCAAAGTGGTGTGTGTGCACAGCCGAAATTCGGCCTCTGATTGATGATGTCAGCATTGCTTGACATTTAATTGACTGCTGCAAGTTGGCAGCTTGTCATGCGCAGCTGAAGAGATGCTAGTTAAACTTCACATGGTCTCGCTCTGCCCGGGGGTTCTGTTTGATTCACTTTGTGGCGGTATTCCCCACAAATTCGAAAGGGACCAGCAGAGGCGGTTCATTTGCAAAGTTTGCATGGTGCAGCAAACTTTTTGGCAGCCTTCCTTTGGATTGAGTAGCTATGCTCTCACCAAGGCAGCTAAACCTAAGCGCACTGCTTGGTGGAAATGTTTCCTTATTGTAAATATGTATGTTTTTTACAAATGGGAATAATTCCCAGGTGTCCTTATAAAAGTTCCTCGACATTCTGTTGAAAAACCCCAAAGGATGAAGAATTCTCGTACATTTAACACACTCTCCCCACACTTGAAATCAGTTACTTTCGGGGGCAGTGCTGTTTCATGCAAATGCTGAGTATGGCTTTTGTCACCATGACGATCGGGGCGGAGCGAGGCTATGCGGCAAAGCAAGTGTTTCTTTACTGTATCCACTTATTAAGTTCCTTGCTATATTGACTGGAGCTGTTTTTCGGATCCCTTTTGGGAAGTGATGAGCAAAAATGTTATTTGGTGACTCCTCAAGACTGCGACTCTCTCCATATCATGAGATGTTCAACCCCCCCTTCACCCAGACTGCAAGTGAAGTACACTTGTGCGGTGCTACCAATGACTAATCCGGCCATATCACCCCAACTGGCCCCCATGATGGGAGCACCCATACAAATTTGATTACATTTGTGCTTGTTGAAGCAACACTCCATCATTAAGATGATGAATTATTATCTGCCATTTTGAATAGCTTGCTCAGAGATATATATTTTTTTAGAAAAAGTCCGATGAAAGATTTACTTGGCTTTTTTTTCTTTTGATACACTCCAACTATTTGCATGCAAGGGATAAATGAAACCCTTAATTTTCAACACCATGTCCCCTTTAGCCATTAAATACTGTACTGGTGTTTTTTGTATTATCTTGTCTCGGGGTAAGTTTCATCAATAGCTAGAATGAGTCTGCATCCCGTATTGCACTGGAGTCAATCTTTGACTCCTAATTCCACAATTATTGTTTCTCCAAGAGATATTGTCTGACATAAACCGGTCCTTGGGGCAAAAAAGGTTGGGGACCCCTGCCGTATTGCACTGGAGTCACTCTTTGACTCCTAATTCCACAATTATTGTTTCTCCAAGAGATTCTTGAGCCTCTTCTTGTAATTTGTTAATGATGTGCTGCAAACTTAGTTATACATGGCCGCACTGTCCCATGAATCCCAGATTCCAAGCATCTGGTTTTGTGTGTGTGTGTGTGCGCGTGTGTGTGTGTGTGTGTGTGTGTGTGTGTGCGTGCGTGCGTGCGTGCGTGCGTGCGTGCGTGTGTGTGTGTGTGTGCGTGTGTGTGTGTGTGCGTGTGCGTGTGTGTGTGTGTGTGTGCGTGTGTGTGTGCGATTGTCCCCAGGAGGGTGTGACCAACAGATGGCTCAGTGTGCAATGAGCTGCAGCCTGATAATTATGGACCATGTCGTAAAGTGGGGATGAGTTTAGCTTGTGAGCAAGACAAGGAATAGAAAGGAGTGTGTACTGCGCATGGGTGTCAAGTACATGCTGGCGTTCCGCATGCACATTTTGTTGTTGTTTTTAATCACAATGTATCAAAAGGAAGTGTATTCTGTCACGCTGGGCTCAGTATGCCTGACATAGACCAGACACCATCATTTTGTGACTGACTTTCATCCATCTCTTCTATCCTGGCGCTGATCCTGCTGCTTTTTATCTCAGTAATGTCATGCCTGGGGCTTTTCCCTTTCACATTCCGAAAACCTGCACGGTACGTTCATTGAAGATTCTAAATTCTCCCTTGGTGTGAATGCGTGTTATTTATCAATTTGTGCCCAGTTGCCCATTTGCTGCCCCACGCCTAACGACTGCTGGGATAGGCTCCACAGCACACCAGCAATCCATGTGAGGGTAAGCAGTCTAGAGCAGGGGTGTCCAACACCAGTCCACGAAAGCCCCTGTCGAGCATGTTTTAGAGGTCTCCCTCCTCCAATACACCTGATTCAAAAAATCAGGCTTCTCAGAGCTTGCTGATGAGTTTTCAAGGACAGGAGTTGGACACCCCTTCTCTAGAGCATGGATGAGTATGTGTGTGTGTGTAAAAAACACAAACCACCAAAACCAAGGTACACTGAAAAAAAAGGTTTGTGTTGGCACACAATAGAGTCATCTAGGGTTAAATTATATCTGGATCCAAATCAATTTATTTTTTGCAACCACTTGACGAAGGAAAATTGTGTCATTTCAACACACCATTTTTTTTTCAGCATATTTAAAACATCACTTTTGGTATTGCAAAGAGCCTGTGGATCTCTTTTTGGCCTCATTTTACATGTTACATTAATCAGGCGTACCTCTTTGGCCTTTTAATTGTATTTAAAAAAAATATATTTTTTATGCACTTCCTGTTGAGTACAGTATAGGATATTTTCTTCAGGTTTGTGTACAAAATGGAACCAGAGCACTGGTGTCTCCATTCAGAGCACTGATAGTGCAGCAGTCAGACGGGCAAAAGCTGTCATTTTAGTATCCGGCGAGGTGAGAGGGAGAAGGGCACTTATAGTGTCACACTTAGAGTGACTGAAACGTGATTTTTTTTTTCTGCGTGTTCCGAAATGTCATCAACTTGTGATGTCATCTTACGAAATACCCACTCTGACACAATCTTCAATCAGCAGCCTGTCGTCTCATTTTTAGCAAGACTGCACGTTTCACAGAAACGAATTCAGTCAGTTACCCACAAGTTTTGGTCTGTTCTTACCTCCACGAAGGAGGCTTTGCTTACAGCCAGTTTATTTGTCATCAGAATTCCACAAAAACTGTCTCCAACAGCCCTCTTCACTCCTTTTGTCTTGCCTCCTCACTGACTCTTTTTTCTGTGGAACAATTTGTTTACCCACAATCCCCCTGGGTAATTAGTGCTGTGATAATAACTGGAAACAAACACACCCACAAACTGAGCAGTGCACGCGCATACACAAATGCGTGCGCTTGCCCACACATTGGGGTGAAAAACAATTCCCACAAACTGAAAAGAGTGCAAGCCACATTTTTAAACACGAGGGTCTGAACGATAATGCATTTTTAAAATCATGAACCCATATACTATAATTGTAATTCAAAATAAGTCTGGAGTTTTCATGATTATTGTCAGTTGCTCTGCCTTCAAAAACAGCCCATGCCAGAGGTCTGATGTCAGAGGAGTTTTTTTCTCTTCAGCAAGCTGGTCCCATTTTGGGGGTAATCTTGTTTCCTTTCAAAATACTCCAAAGGCTTGTCTTTGAAAGCCGAGTCTTCAGACTCCTTGTGCCCAAAGCGGTTTTGATAGCTCGATTGTAGGTCTGAACAATTTTTTTTTTCAAATTGACATTGCATACACTGAAAAAAACATGGATGACAGGTTAATGGAACACTCTAAATTGTCCCCAGGTGTGAGTGTGAGCCTGGGTGGTTGTTTGTCTCTGTGTGCCCTGCGACTGGCTGGCAACCAGTTCAGGGTGTACCCTGCCTACTGCCCAGAGACACCTGGGATAGGCTCCAGCATGCCCCGCGACCTTTGTGAGAATAAGCGGATCAGAAAATGGATGGATGGATGGATGGATGGAAATATGTGTGTGTGTGTGTGTGTGTGTGTGTGTGTGTGTGTGTGTGTGTGTGTGTGTGTGTGTTCTTTTTAGCAGGGCTGAACAATTGAATTCAAGTTTGATGCTGCAATATACTAGAATGCACTCACAGGGTGCAATTCAAACAAAAAACAAAGAAAAAAAAATATTTTGACTGGTTGATAGACTTTTATTTGTTTGACTATTTGTGTATATTTTATTCATTTCTATCGCGTCTGGTAAATTGATTGCTTAAGAAGTGCAGTCCACTTCTACATATCAATGTTTCATGACACATAATAATAATAACAATAATAATAATAATACATTTATTTTGAAAGCGCTTTTCATCGTACTCAAAGACACTTTACATGAGTTTAAAACACGGGATAAAAATGTACACTTTAAAGCCAAGCATAGATGATTTAAAACAAACACATTTAGAAGAGGAGTTAAACGTGTTGCGCATCAGGTGAGTTTTAAGAAATGATTTGAAGGATTGGACGTCAGTACAGTTGTGAATGTGTTGTGGTAGAGAGTTCCAGAAGGTGGGGGCGGTGACAAGTGCAGTGATAAAGCCACAGGTTGTTGTAATCAGATTATGTGAAACTGTCATAGTGAACACTAAAAAGAGAATTCAGGATAATTTATTGTTTGTGTATGTCCAAAAAATGCATAAGACCTTCAAAAAAAGAATTGTAATGGCAACATTTGATGGTGGGGTGGGGTGGGGGTGGTCGCAATCAGAAAATGCTTCAAGCTCGTTTTGCCCACTCGATTGTCTCGTATGCGAGTTCTCTGGGCATGCACCCGAAAAAGGAGGAAGCAGCACTAAGTTTCTCGAATCTCATCTCCCACTCTGCTTGAAACATAAAGCAAATTCTTTCAAGCCGACTGTGCAGCCCGGTGGTGGAGGACCCCTGCTAGACGTCACTAGCACGAATCTGGCCACAGGCAGTGAATCAGCCGGTTTGGTTTCAGCCTCTCCACCCTCACAGTCGCGTCTCTCAGGGAAAGGACAACTTGTGACCTTTCTGTCATTCAAAGGCGGCCCGGGTTGACGTCGCCACGAATGTCAGCTTGCTGCTTTTAACAGTTTGTTGGTGGATTCCACTCATCCTTGCTGCGAAGCAAAACACAGTTCAGGCTCGTTTTCATCACTGCTTGTCACAGAACAAATATGAAGCCATGTCACACATAACATTTCGTTAGTGTGGGGCAAGGGCCGTTAACAGTGATTAACGCCTCTCTCTATGAAGGAGATGAGTAGAAGGTAAACTAAACCGAATTAGGATTGTTTGGCCTTGATAGAGGTATACAGTACGTTTCTTAGTTAGCCATTCAACTGTGCTCTGTTTTTAGTAGGGCTGAACACTCAGTCAAATTCAAATTGCAAAACACACACACACTGAGAAAAAAATGGTGTGCTGAATTTATTCAATTGTATTTCATCAAGTGGTTGCATGACATACAATCATCTGGATCCAGATACACTTGTTAGGTCGACTAAACACATATTGAAAAAAAAAACATGACGATACTGTTGTGTGCAGCCACTTGACAAAATAAAATTGAGCATATTCAACAGATATTTCCAATGCTGTGAAAAATACTTGGCTCAGAACAAAATATTTGACTTCTTCTGGAGAGTCCTGATCTAATTTCTAATGAACATTTGACATAGGTGCTGAAACAAGCAGTCTGGAGAGGTACCCTTCATACCTGAGTCGGCCGGAGCAGTTTGCTCACAGGGACTGATTGCCTGAAAAGGCCGTGCAGCAAAATATCCGTTAAAAGGACCCTCTTTTTTTCTGGCCAGTTTCATTCATTTTTTTTACTTATTATCAATATATCTGTTGTCCCCTGAAAATTAAAAACAATTCCTAACATTCCTTTATTAATTTCCAGTACGTTTCATTGATGTTATCCTTTTTTTTTTTTTCTTCAATTTTTTACATGGGTCTTTCTTGAACCGAACTGTAACAACAATTCTGTCCAGGTCTGTAGATAAAGGTGCTGTCTGCAAAAAGGGCGCACCAAAGAAGCATGCCGCTTGCAGTATCCATGGCCCTTTTTGTGTTTGATCATGTACGGGAACAGCTGGGACTCAGCCTTGCATGCGAAGTACTGAGGACGTCCAAGTCAAAAGATAGCAGAGAGCACGCCTGTGTGCACTGTGAGAGAAAATAAGAGCGTGATGGGAAAAAAAAATGCAAGATAACGAATGCGCGATAAGAAGAGAATGAGAATCTCCTGCTGTTTTTCCGAGCAGCAGGCTGTTGTTGCCTTTGATTTATTCACCCGTTTCCTTCATGTCCCACTTTCACTCTGCTCTGTGCTCTTTCATTCATTCTTTTTGCCCTTCTGCTACTTAAAAATGATGACTGGACCACACAGCCGAGCATCGCCAAAATGACTCACCTGGCTTCAGCTTGAGCGTCAAACAGCTTTTATTCTAAAAGCAGCTTTGAATGATGCATGGCCTCCCTGACCAGCGCAAACATGAGCCTGGCACTGCGCGCATCACAAAAGATCGTCTTCTTCCACAAATGAATAATGAATCTTGGCCCAAGGTCGAGACTAAATATGTATTACAACCTAGCCAGCGCTGCCCCAAAGGTCCTGCGACGCTTTCGAATGCGAGCAGTCACCCACGCGTGATTGGTGGCGGCATGCTAGTGTCATAAATAGAGCATTCGATCTTCATCACCTGCCTCGTTTTGTCACCAACCAATTATTTTGTCACATTTCATAGCTGAGCAAATGCTCCTGAACGTCCCTCCATTCATCCCCTGGAGCCACAAGTTTGTGAGTGTGTGTGTGCGTGATGCGCGCGTGTGTGCGTACATACAGTATGATGTACTCACAGCTGCTTACTGCCGCCCTAGTGACGACTTCCCACGGCAGTGCTTTGAAAGAACAATCTTTTATGGGACAGAATTATGATATGTTAAATGAGTGAGTGGTCGTCGTGTCCATTTCTTGATGTCTCACGCTTGCAGCCCACCAACCACTCCATGCACACACATTGAGCCCTCCCTCTCAAGCGCTGGTTGGTTGCCACGGCTACATTGTCGCCTCTCTTCCTCATGTTGCTATGAGACTCGGACCGGCAGACCTGAGCTGAATGACAATGTGTCTGTGGCTCTGACAAGAGGCCCACAACAGCCAATAAGAGGAGGCCCAGACAAACATAGCCAACGGGGATTATGTGGGCCTCATGTGAGGGTACTTGAGTGCCCTCGTATGTTAATCTGCGCAGACAGTTCATTCATGGAAAAGTGGACCAGAATGTTATCCCTCCACACTCGTTGCCATTTGTAGTTGTTTGTGAGCAGGGTGATAGTAAGGAATGACTCGCTGAAAACTGTGTGGACGTGTGGGATGGTGGCACGATGGAGTCAATCAACCCTTTCGGGGACAGCGGTTGCTACAGTGGACAGTTTATCAGGTTACAGGGTACATGAATAGGTTAAAATTACACATTGATCAAAGGCGTTTGATGAAAGAGTTTCCCCAGGTGTCTTCATAAAATGTCTTGGCCATTTCGGTTTAAGGAATTTCAGTACACGGAGTATCGGTTTCGGGGGAAAGCGGCTCTTTCGGAGGCAAAGGACAAGTCCAGCTTTCATTACCGTGATGCGGGTGGAGCTAGGCAAGGCATGCAACAAAGCTTTTGGCCGACTGAGCAACTTTGTCACTTGAGGTAGAGAGAAGGACACAAAGAGGAAAGTCAAACTTTGTCTTAAATAATAATGTTTGAACACTAATCCAAATTTGACATATTTTGTTCTCCTCGCGGCAGCCCGATGACTTCTTTGTGTTCGGGATAAAAGAATCAAAGTGGACACTTTATTGACTGGCGGATTAAAAACTGCGGCTCGTCAAACAAGCAACGGCGGAACGTGTTCATGAGAGGCGTTCTTTGTCAAGCGCCCCTTCATTCCTCTTTGGAACGATGTGACATTTCTTCTCTCTCCTCATCTTGTGCAAGGATTCATGAGATTATGGAAAGAGTAACAACAGTGCTTCCATCATATGATTGTTCAAAATCTTTTCATGCCTGTGTCTTCAGGAAATGTTCACCCCGGAGTGCAAATTTAAGGAGTCTGTGTTCGAGAACTACTATGTGATCTACAGCTCCATGCTGTACAGGCAGAAGGAGTCTGGCCGGGCCTGGTTCCTTGGCCTCAACAAGGAAGGGCAGGCCATGAAGGGCAACAGAGTCAAGAAGACCAAACCAGCTGCACATTTCTTGCCTAAACCTATAGAAGGTAACTCCCACTCACCTTCATGTTTTGCTACAAATGTGTCTTCAGTCATCACCATAACAATAATCATAATGATAATAATAATAATAATAATAATAATGTGTGTGTATCCATGTTACTGAATCTTAACAGATGGTTTGACATGCTTTTTTTAATGTCCAATGAAGCAGATTCACCGATTTTAGAAGTACTGTCAAAGATTTGAATGAAATGCCATTTTTGCTTTTCTTTTTCTTTCATCAGTCGCTCTAACTCTCACTTTTGCCCTGATGTCACGCATCTGTCATCCATCCTCTCCTCATCCTCACCCCTCCTCCGCCCATTTTCCGACCCACCCCTCCAGTTGCAATGTACCGAGAGCCTTCACTGCATGACGTAGGGGAGGCGGCGCCTAAGATCGCCGGGGGCCCGCCTTCCAAAAGCACAACCAGCGAGCCAGTGATCATGAACGGCGGTAAGCCCGTCAGCAAACCTGACAAGGAGGAGACATAGCCCACCGTCCCCACCCCCGCTTCCCCTTTCCATCCGCAAGCAACCAGAGGCCAGGAAAAGTCCGCCATTCTGCAACAAAGGTGACAAAAGAGACTCAAAGTCAAGCTGAGACTGGTCAGCAGTGAGGGAGCACCCGGCACCCCGCTGCTCACAATAAGATAGATCTGGTCCTGTCGGCGGCCGAGGGCCAAACAGAAAGAAAATGAAGTGGCAGGAGTGTGAGCTCCTCTTGGCAGAAAGGATGTTCGGAAAATGAAACAAACACACCATGATACAAATGTGCCATCTCCGCTGGTGTTTTCCTGTCAGAGGCCTGCTTATCCTTCTCCGATCTTGCTCGGTTGCCAGGTACGCTTGTTTAAAACACACACACGCACGCGCACAAGCTCCACACGGTGGATTTTCAAGCCACCCCGACAAAGAAATATGATGGAGCGTTGAAGCTGCATCCGATCGGACACGCAACGCTCTGTATGTCACCACCAGTTCGGTTCTTATTTGACAGTCAGGCATGTTTCTTTATTTCTTTGTTGCTAGTTGGTTTTAAGGATGCAAAAACACCGCTGGTTGTGCAGAGACAGACGAGATTTCACTCGCTACCTCCCTGCCAAGCACCGAATGAATGCTACCCACCTCTTCCCTGTGTAGCCATTCAAGAATTCTAGCCAGGCCTTGCTCACATCGGCACGTAGCAAGAACCGAAGAGGTTTCACATGTTTGGAGTCCAAAACAAATGAAGCCCAGTTATTATTTACGTGGAATAGCAGAGGACACGTAAAGTGTAGCTGAAGGTCAACGTGCAAAGCTCCACACAGAGGATCGGGAAATAGTTATTATCCTGGAAAAAAAAAAAAAACAGTTCTTGATTTTTGGTTGCACTTGATGAAAATGGGCTCAACTGCGGTCATACATTTGTTTGTTTTTGAGCAAACCCACGGGAACATGACATAGGTTGACCACATTTTCATCATGTGCAACCGCTACACGTTTGAACGAAGTAAATCCAAAGGATCTTCTTTTTTTCAGCGTACACAGAGGGCTTGTACCCTCGATGCTTGGACCCCAAACAGGATAAAGCATCCCAAAAAGTCTTGTGCACCACGCGTAGCGATTGTACCTTGAGGAACAGAAATGACTTCCATTTCTGACGGTGTATTACATTCTGCTCCTTTTCCATTAACTTGAATTTCAAGGTAGGAGGGTGAAAGTGAACAGGGTAAATCACGTTAAAGCCACACTATGTCACCGATGTGAAGCGGATGTGCGACATGCCGGTTGATTGGTGCGATAATGCTTTTGAACACGGTGGCTTGAAATAGTCAACGAGGGTTGGACCGCAAATATAGCCTCAATCAGAATATCGCATAACCAGCTTGCGCGGGTAACCGTCCGCTCAATGAAAGCAAACCAAATAGATTCCTCACTGTGACCATCAACATGGCTCCAATCTGTTCAGGACTTGAAGCCTTGCTCAAGAACCGGGCCTTTTGTTCAGACGCCAGTGAACTAAACTGGTAGTTGCTTATAAACTATCCCTTATAGAAGGTAAAAATACTGTGATACTACTTGTCGTGTTTGTGCCAGTGAAAAAGATGTGCTCGTCGTTGTGGCTCAGGATGGCGGTAGAGCGTTAGAGCAGGGGTGGGCACACCAGTTCTCACAGATCAGCATGATCAATTCATATGGGCACGTCTATCATAAGGGGACCCATAAAAATGTCTCAGGGTCAGTCATTGTGGTTCAAAGCAGCCATATGTGGCGGATTCCAGGACTCGCATATGATACGGCGCCAAGGGGGCGCTGTGGTGTTGTATGACGAAATGGAGAAAGGGGAAAAAATATAGAGGTATGTTAGACAAATCCAGGACATGAAAAGAGTAAAACAGTGGTGAGGTGTGCTGCTCGAGTGACAGTGCAAGCAGAACTTCATCAAGATCACCTCTGGTCCGCCTGTTTGCTTTGGTGATGGACAGATTGACTGAGGAGGTCAGACTCTGTGTAAACTATGATCTTTGACATCGTGATCTGTGGTGAGCGTAGGGAGCAGGCGTAAAAGAACTTAGAGAGCTGGATGTATGCAGTGGAGTGAAGAGGAAGGAAGATCAGTCACAGCAAGACGGCGGCGCAACGTGTGAATAAAAGGGGTGGCCGTTTTTTAGCTCATCCGCAACGGTCCGAGCCATTAAAAATCAAAATGGGACCCTTGAGCACCAAAGTTTGCCCACCCCGGCATTTGTGGCACAGATTCCAGGAGTGGTTCTTCCCTCCAGACTGGAACAAGCACTCTGTGAAGATAGCCACAAAGACAGAAACAAGCGCTGTATAACTAATTACATGGCCTGGGCAAAAGGTCGTCGGTACCACGGGCCAAAGTCGCGACACCCAAGGCTTTACTTCACAGTGGCAGAAATACCTGAGCGGACAATGCGGTGTGCCGTTCCCTCATTTCTCGTACTGCGACGTTTTGTTCTGCTCTCCACCTCCCATTACCAAATCACTGCGAGTTTGAAATTCTTATCACAAAAGCGTCAGCTTGCAAAGTGTCAAGTGTATTTCTGCTGTCGTCCCAATGAGAAGTTGTTGTAAATTTTCTGATCTGATTCCGTTTGGTTTATACAGTGGAACCTCTAAAGTCAAACACCCTCTGGCCGCGGTTGTACTATTTGCGTTTGCACACCATGTTTTAAAGAAGAAAAAAAAAAGGCAACTATGTCTGTAGCTGCTCAACACAAGATCGCAATTAAGAGAGCATCAAGGGAATAACTGTGCTTTCATTACACAAGCACTCATTACAAAAGCAGCAACGGCCTCAATATGAGTTTTTAAAAGAAATAGAACACGAAAAGTGAAGATAGTGTCCACCCGAAATCATGGACTTAATAGCGATATTCGGGCCGATTTTGATCCCGCTATTCCTGATTATCGGACGTCTATAAAAGATGATCCAAGGTGGTTATCACGTGTTGTGGGGAGTGTTCAATGTTTTTCCTCACCATTCTGCTTGGAATGCCACCAATTAAGAGAGGTTCAATATTTACAATCGCACAAAAGCACAGAGTTCTGCCTGGCTCTTTTATTGCTTTTCACCACTCTTCTTTTTATTTTTCATCAATCTGGAGCCCACGTGGCACCAGATTGCCTCTCTCGTCAATATTTGTACTCGGCCGGGCATCTAGATCGGGGGAGGAGACTCGCGATTTGATAGCTGGCGATACGGTTGCATGCGTGGTATGCTCAGGCGATCCCATGAGTTCACCACACATTCCAAGAGCAGTACCAACATATGTGCAAATTGTTTTCCTCATCACGGTCTGTTGCAGTTCAAAAATTGTTTCAGATCAGACTGATCTTACTTTAAAAATGTAACACATTTCAAATTATAGTTACTTTCATTTGAAAGTAATATATTTTGTGACAATATTACCGTCAGTGTAGAATAACAAGTTACTCTAAATTTAAGTTACTTTTAATCAGGGATTAATTGATTTCATCATGATTTAAACATTTTAAAACGAAAATGCAAAATTCGCAACACGGTTGGTGACTTGTAATGGGGGATCTTTAACTATATAGTGTGGGCGATCATGTTAAATCTTTCGATTCTATGGTGGGAGATCACTGCCTTTGATTAATATTTGTATCAGTAAGATCTATTTTTTTTTAAGTACGGTACACATAGTGGAACTGATATTTGGTCTGGTAAATGAATAAACCCAGACTATATGCCATAAATACAATTATAAACAAACTCAAATTAAATTCCACTCATGGGAAAGTTCAGTTTATATTGCCAATACACATTCCTATTGTCAATAACACAATGGATTTTTTTTGAATGTATTAAAGTATACTCGATCATTGAGTTAACAAATGATAGTAATAGATGAAGTATACCGGTAATTTATAATTTACAATTTATAATTGGTCTCACTAGATAGATAGATAAATAGATAGATAGATAGATTGAAAGTTCAGTGAGTTGTAATTCTCTGAACTGCATTACACAATACAGTACACTCACTCAGTGAATCAGTGTGCAGTGGCAGGAAAGGAACAGGAAGTGCCAGGTCTTCATTCTGCCAATCAGCGGGTAGCTGACATGTTTCCGCCAAGGGAACCAAACTTTTGTTTCAAAGATGAAGGCGTGTCTCGTCTCAGTGAGTAAATTAAAAGCAAGATATAAGTCCATGTCCCTCGACTGGAACTCATAAATAACATTGGAAAATGTGCCGAAAAATGATCGTCAATTTGCTGACACTTCTGCTCACCCATGAACCATTTGAAGGATTATGCGACGTCACAAGCGGCGGCCCGGTAGTCCAGTGGTTAGCACGTTGACTTCACAGTGCAGAGGTACCGGGTTCAATTCCAGCTCCGGCCTCCCTGTGTGGAGTTTGCATGTTCTGCCCGGGCCTGTGTGGGTTTTCTCCGGGTACTCCGGTTTCCTCCCACGTTCCAAAAACATGCATTGATTGAACACACTAAATTGTCCCTAGGTGTGAGTGTGAGTGCGCATGGTTGTTCGTCTCTGTGTGCCCTGCGATTGGCTGGCTGGCAACCGGTTCAGGGTCTCCCCCGCCTACTGCCCGAAGACGGCTGGGATAGGCTGCAGCACCCCCCACAACCCTAGTGAGGATAAAGCGGTTCGGAAAATGAATGAATGAATGAAATGCGACGTCACAAGCAAGGATGTTTAACATTCGCATAACATTCAATTCCTACACGCTCATTCTTTGCATCACAGCCACATTAGCGGTCATGTGAAGTATGTGCAGGAACTTTTTCAGAAAATTTGTGTTACTTCAAATGTGTATGCAGCAACGGCGTTATATTCCTCTTTCCGTCAGTGTTGAATAAATAAATAAATATTCAGGGTGACGTATGTGGCACGAATCACCATACAGCAAATATAATTTTTTTTTTTCACTCTAATTGCTGTAGTAGTTGGCAGTGGTAGTCCAGTACTTAGTGCAGCTCAAAATATGATTCTACCTGTCAGTATAGAGAAATAAGAGACATTTAAGTGACATAAATATTCACAGAAATCAATGAAAACACCCAAATGGCCCGGACCTAATCTCACTTTCGTATTCGTCAAATGTTGTTGCATATATTGCTGTGCAATGTTTTACAGATGTACGAAGCAATTGAAAATACAAACAAGAGCTGTTGTTCAGAAACGCTGCCTAGTCATAATTGTTCTGTGAAGCAAGTGCAGATTTACAGTATTTTTGTAGAATATTGCCAAGTTTTTAGAAAGTACAGGTATTTTTTTTCAGCCCACATCATCCACTCCTAGTTTCAGGTGAATCGAACAAAAAAATGGAAGTAATAAACGAGCACGTCAGACTCTTACTTACTGGGGCATAATTTAGTTTGTCGGATTGGGGTCGCCGTATTGTGACCGCACAGGTCTTTCGCCTTGGATTTAGAAATGAATGGACTATAAATAAAACCCTCATGGCTGAAGCCAGAGGGCAGTCATCGTACGTTGCCTCTGGTACTTACAACTTCTGTTATTTTATATTATTCTTTTTTTTTTTTTTTTTTTTTTTTTTTTTTTTTTAATTTACTGCCTGTAAACACTTCCCAGTGCATGTTTTGCACTCGGATCCTGGTATGGATTAATGAGAGCCTTTCAAAGAACCAACTTCACTGTTTGCATCGACCATTCGGTGTATATTATCTCACTCTCGTGAATCATGACTGACTGAGGCTAGGTTTAAGTTTCGCAGCAAATTTGTCCCGCTTGGCTTTGT